TTTTCGTTGGTGACAACGTTCAAATGGGTTGCTTTCTCGTCGTGTATCTGTTCTACAGATGAGGCTGATTCTCTTTCAGAAGTCATTATGTACTAGTAATTGGTGGTTTGTAAGAAAATTTAAATAGTTCTGGAATAAAATTTGGCTGTGGTATATATTAAACGGCTATGGAGTGACATGAATTCCACGGTACGGCGATTCTGTACAATATTGAAGGCCATGTACGTTGTGATAGGTTCTGTTTGTCTTAGGTCACAAAACAGGAAAAGAGGTGACTATTGTTATAAATCGATTGATAATGGAAAGATTCGACAGAAAGCGGATATTGTTCTAGATATTGTACTTTGATTGCAAAGTAAAATTGATAAAACAATGACACAAAACTGAATTCCTGTCATATTTTTGATGGAAAAACAAAAAGAGGGAGAAAAAAAGTGATGCTGCATGGCAAATCCTCCTCCCCCATGTTTTAAGCGTTTCTACCATTGCTTATCTTAAACCATTAAGATGCTGGTAAATTTGAAAACGCCCTTCCACAGACAATTTAAAAATGCGCATCCCCACGCTATTGCTTTCCCAGAATAAAATAAGGTGTACCTTTTTCTTTGAGGACGCAAAAATGATATACTAATTGTCTCGACATTTCTTGGCTGTTTATAGTTTATTAGTCGCCCCCACACCCATACTGGTTTCTCGTTACTGTCTATCATTAGGTAGGAGAAAAAGTTTGAATTCCAGAATGAGGTCGTGTTTGCATAAATAGTGAATGAAAAACACTGCTTCTTCTTGAAACATGAAAACTCTATGATTCTTCCAACGACTTATGTAAAAATGATGAAAGGGTGATATTTTTATACGGTTGTAAACATTGAAGTAACATAGCATTGAAAGCATATTTTTTATTAAAGTATAACGAAAGAAGTAAAATCTAAAAATCACCCAAGGTGGCATTGTAAACTTTGTCTTTGTAATCATGGTAAAACGTGACATCTTGTGGAACTGAAGAGTTGATACCACATTCTTGGACAAAGTCTACTTCCCCAATCCTTTCGTTGATGTAGTTCTCAAAGTCATCGAGCTTGCACGAGAATCCAGGGCCAGTTGCACACTTTTCAATTGGCACTACAGCGTCGTTGACAAGGTATCTGACATACGATTCATCCCCACATTGGAACTTTTCGGTGTATATTCTGGCACCTTGAGGAACAATTGATGCGTGGACGTATGGGTTGGGGAAAGGGATATAATCAGTTGGAAGGTCAGATGAAGGTTCTAAAATTCCCAATGCACTGTGGTATATTTCCAAGTCAGTGTCATGGGTAAAGGACAACCATAACTTGTTACTAGCTGATTCATCTTTCAACAAGGCTAAAGAAGCGTTTAACAAAGTAGATCCAATGGTTTTGGTAAAGTTGTTTCCTGGACCATTGGAGTAGTAGTTTGACAAGTCATTGGCGTATGAGGCCCTGACAAACTCCTCATTGGTGAACAAATCACAAAAGGGGGAGCTTCCACGAACATTGATTTCAAAGGCACACCAGTTGACAAAGGAATCGACCTCCAGTGCAGTCAAGTTCAATCCAGGGTTTGGCTCGTTCAATCTATCGGCAATAGTTTGTAAGTAACTTGTATTGTACTTGGCAACAGTCTCGTCATTGATCGAGTCATTGTAGTTGGGGCACGAGTTTCTTGGGGTTAAACTGTTGACGCCAGAGGTAGCTGCTTCATCAATGATATTAAACTTCACAGTCTTGTCTTCTTCAAAGTCGTCTCCAAGGAATCCTCGGGCAAAATATCTTGATGTTTCGTAACAACGACCGGAATTGGATGAAAATATTGGCAATGTGGAGTTCACGTTGTACAATGAGCCATATTTAGCTCTGAAAGCAACACCATGTCTCAAAGCATCGGAAGTACCTGCAAAGGTGCCTTCTGAATTCTTTGGTGAAGTCTCTTTTTCGTACTGGCTCGTGTCAGGCACAAAATACTCATAATCATTCAAAAATGACAAATCACCGGTAAAGGTGCCATTATAGTTTTGGAATTTCTGGTACATCTTCTCCAATTTTTTCCCAACATTTTTAGAAGGGTATCGCTCTCCGTGTCTCGATAACAATTGAACTTGTTGGACAGAGCACCCATCAGGGATAGCAGGATCAATACCATACGACTCTCTGCTGATGTATGGGCCCAGTCCTCCGAGGAAATTCAAGATGTTGTACCCATCGACCTTCATTTCTTGAGGAGTGGCGACATCCTGGTAGATGTTTTGACTAACTAGTAATAACCCACTGTTGAGCAAATTTGAAACGGCAACCATTGTTGATGATCATTAGGAATAGATGGGAAAGTGTAGATTCCAATGGCTATTTATATATTGCGTCTTTAATGAAGCGGTCCGACAATTGTTAACAAGTTTCTAAATTTATCGAATCAGCGCGCAAAATTGGATCCACGTGTGCTTCAATTTTTAATTAATCCGATATTTATTGTCAAAACAACAAACCGATTTGGAACAAATACGTCAAAATCGGGTAATTTCAAAACATCGGCTCATTCGAGTCTGGTTATTTGTGTTAAATTAAGTTGGTATTAACGACAAATGAAGCGAAAGAGCAACGTGCTACATGTAAAGAAGTTCCAGTTTTGTGCGGAATTGATTTAAATGACAGAGGCACGGAGACGCCGTATACTCTCCCTCTTTTTAATACGGACCTTCGACAATCTATTTAGAAACATTTGTAAGAAGAAGCACAACAAGGAAAAACAAATAGAAAAGAAGAGTGATGTTTGCAACATGGTTTTACTCTATTCGTCAACGACCAAATATGATCTGCGCAGAGTCCAGGAATATGTTGCATCGGGACATATTGGCCGAGCTGCAATTCAATATGAAATAAATCAAATCAAATGAGCTCAAGACCGACCCGTTATTATACAATCTGTCGACGGAACTACCCTGCCTAAGGCCTAACAAAAGGTTTCGCCAAGATATCTACTTTCCATGAGCGCATATGCAAAACCCCACCTAGTAATCTCTCGTCCACAAGCACACTGCTCAACTCTCCGAAGAAAGGACCGGTGTGCAGGGAAAGCAAGAAACAACGTCAAACAGTAGGGTTTGCACTGTTATACAACAACTGCGCCATAATTGAATTTCAATACAATGAACATCAAGCTTGCTTCTCGAGCGCCGATCTGCCAAGGAAAACATCTACAGAGAATCAAGAAGAGCAAAGCTTCTATCTTCAACTGAGAGCCCACCTTGACACAGATTGATGGATAATTAGTTAAAGAAGAAGAAGAAGAAGAAGAAAGGAAAAAAATTTTGGGTGAAAAATTTCCGCCTCCTTTTTTTTCTTTTATATCACACGATGAGCTCTCTCGTTCGTAAAAGCAGCACAAAATTGAGATGACAATTCATCTTTCAATCAACATGCAATTACAAGTATGGCGGGTGGTAGATCCAAATCGAATGAGCTGGACCATGAAGCCAGTTCCACCTTGCTATTCAAGAACGATGACTCCTTAGAACCGTACCAAATTATCGACGCATTCACTGTTTGCTTCAAACATATACTCGATTCACCAGAGTTGGATTCCTTCATTCAAAAAGTAAAGAGCCACTTGTACAATAGAGACTATATTGCTGCTTTTGATGATGACAATAAGAGATTTGGCTACGCGTCGAGATGGAGCCCGTCTAGGGCATTAGCTTACGCATCGTTATTCTCTAGCTTGCTTCCAGTTAAGGAGATGTTGCAAGAGCCAGAAAATGTGAAACGAGTGTTGTGTGTCGGTGGTGGTGCATCGTCAGAGGTGGTGGGATTGGGTGCAGTATTTTGCAGGCTTAAGGAGTATCACCCCAATTCTCCCTCTCAATTGGATATCAACGTTGTGGACATTGCTGACTGGAGTACCGTGGTTAGCCACTTATCCACTTACATGAAACAAAATTGGTTGCACAAGGAACACAGTTTGAATACGCGGTTTGTAAACGAGGATATATTGTCGGCAAAGATAGACGATTTGGCAACCCTCGATCTAGTCACATTGCTCTTCACTACCAATGAATTGTTTGCCGAGAAACGAAAGGAGACGATAAAGTTCTTACATACCTTGAGTAACGGTTGCAAGAAGGGTAGCTTGCTATTGATTGCTGAAAGTGCCGGTTCTTTTTCTCATATAACTATAGGAAACAAGCAGTTTCCTGTCCAATTTTTAATCGATACTATCCTAGTGGGTAAACAAGGTGAAGGGAACGGTCCTTGGGAAATTATTTCTGAAAACGATAGCACATGGTATAGAATTAATGAAAAGGAAGTGGCGTACCCATTAAAGTTGGAAAATATGAGATTCTTTTATAGACTATACAGGAAAAAGTAGCTCAAATTGACACATCGTTGATCTCCTCCACAAATTTAGCTTGTAGAGTTCGCAATAGATCTAGCTTATATGATGCACTACAATCCAACACACGCATTTGGTTCAATGCAAAGTAAAGTTCTAAAACCAACTTCCTGCGTCTTGACACTAGTTTGGAATGCAAATCGTTGCATTTTGACACCTGCAATTTTAAAGTTTCAGCAATAGATTTTGATTCCATTAAAAGCCCCGCCGGTAACATTAGGGACGACTCAGCGTATTTTATGCCATAGCATTCAAGTTCAAGTTTTCCAGGCTCTAACTTGAACTTGGACTCCAATTTTCCATTGCTTTCAGTCATTTTCATATGAGAGGCCAAAACACATGACTTGCTTCCCAAAATTTCAGCAATTTCTCGAAAATGGGTTGTAGTAAAAACAGAAGCTCCTGTTGTGATAAGGTGCTCAAGAATAGCAAGGCAAATAGAGAATCCATCCCGTAGGCTCGATCCTCTTCCCAACTCATCTATAATCACAAAACTGTCTTGATCTGCATTTCTCAAAATCCTGCAAATATCCGTCATTTCGTTTGAGAAGGACGACACATTCACATCAGTGGTGTCGGACGAAATCCTTGAAAGAATGCTTTTGTGGAGTTTTATTGTGGCGTAATCAGCTGGCACGTAGAGACCCATTTGTGACATTATTAAAATGTATGCAATTTGTTTCAAATAAACTGATTTCCCACTCATGTTGGCACCCGTTATGATTTGAAATCTCGATATTTCAGGCACGCATGAATAATCGTTAGGGACAAAGTCGCTGATAAATTTTTCAAATATGGGGTGCCGAGATTGTCTCACATGGATATATTTACCAAATTCAGGGCAAACGTAGGACTTGGATTGGGAACTAATAAAGTCTGCAAAACAGCACAACAAGTCGACGGTAGCAATCGCTTCGGAAATCATGAAAAAAATTGGCGCATTTTCGCAACTTTGCTCATACAAATCCAGGATGATAATGCTGCTAATGTTGTTGATTTCCGCCATGATTTCGTTCAAACGAGAACTCTGCTTCAACAAGTCAATGGTAGTACATTCAATACCGTTTTTTCGTTTAATTATATTAATAAACTCCGGATTGTCAATTTCGATGCCCTTTATTTTCAAATAAAACCCTCTAGATTTATCATATCTGTATTCAATGGCTACATTATTCTCCATCGACACCTTCTGAACATATTCTGTAACTTGTTCCAAAATTGCCTCCCTAACACTGCGCGAGACATCAAGTAAGCCATTGATACCTGATTTTACTGCATTGGCTCTTTGGTGGGCAATATCGATGCTTTTCGTAGCCAGTCGACAATTTTCATCAATATACTTGTCAATCAACAATAGCGCAGTTTCAATATTCTCGTGCTTCAATATCTCACTCACCTGAACAAACAATGGCGACTCGGTATGGTCTAAACAATTGAGCAACTCCCCACACAAGGATAGGGTTGACTTTAGCAAAAGAATGTTATTTATCATTTGCTCCTGGCTGATATTTGACTCAGGATTCAAAAAGCTGGCAAATAGTTTGTCCAAATCGGGGAACCTTTTCAACACATACTTGACTCTAATCAAAATGGTCTCCTGTGAGATCAATTCTGTAACCGACTCCAATCTCAATTTTATACTGTCGACGTTTGTTAATGGCTGAATGATTGAAGTCCGTAGCAACCTCTGTCCCATTTTTGTTGTACATCGGTTCAAGAAGGAAAAGACCGTGGTACCATCGCCGTTGAGACTGGAAACAAGCTCCAAGTTTCTAATAGTGCCTGAGTCAATTAGCATAAACTTTTCGTTCTCGACAAAACCTATTTTAACCTTACTGGTTTGTTTGAGTAACTTTGAATCCAAACAGCTTGTAAATAAAGCACTAGCTGCGCCAATTGATAACTTGCGATCAGTAATCAGTTCAAATAGTTCGGAATTTTGCAAGTGCAGATGACTCTTGAGATATTCCATTCCATTGGATGCATCAAACCGCCTGGCCTTTGCCAACCTCTGTTCTACGATTTTGTCAAGGTTGGATGCAAGGATGTACCTCAATTTTTCGAATTGCATGCTTGGCCCCTCCGGTGCAATAACAATGGTAGGTTGGTATGTGTCGATCTGGTGCACAGTTCGAACAAATAACAGAGTATCACAAAATTCCATCAAAGTTAACTCATATGTACCAAAATCGAGAATGGCAATTCCCACATCCATTTGCTCTGACTTTGATTTATTGATTGCCATAACCACTTCATGTTTGCAATCAGTCTTTGACGTGCCATACCTGGTTGATGCACGAGCTGTGGTGATGAACCCGTATTGACTGTTGGTTACGGACATATGCTCGGTGTTGAAATGTTGTTTTCAGAAAAATTTTGGTTGCCAGAATTTTGCCCACATAAAAAAATTAGCAACACATTCAACAACAAAGGTAAACGGCCTACACTCTTTAAATCTTGAGTTTGTTGACCAATTCTTCTAACTCTTGCTCGCCTTCAGAAAAGCTTGCTCTTTTATCCGTATCTTTAACCTTGATATTGGCTTCATTTTCGAGTCTTTCGTCAATCTTATCCAACTCATCTTCGATAGATTTGCTCTTTCCATACTTTTTCTGACCCTCGTTGTAATATTTATCAAGCTCCTCTCTCCAGCCAAGCTTAGTTGTCAAAATTTCGGCAAACTCATCACAATCCATAAGGGAAGCAATGTCTTTCTTTCTTCGACCTAAATCTCCAACTTTTTCCCGGTTAACTAATACGCGAAGACAACTCTTTTCGACACTGGATGGTAAAGATGCAAATGGGTAAACGGTTAATGATGTACCCGAAATTATTGCCACCTCAACATCTTCACAATCACCTTCCCACGTTTCAAAGAACTTTTGTGGTAATCCTTCGCCATAAAACGTGATATCTGGCTTTATATACCCATCACACTTGGAACAAGTGGGGACTTTTTCTTTCATCATGAGCTTTAATTTTTCAATAGATACCTCCTTTTTGCATTCAATACAACGGCTGGTTGCAAATGATCCATGTGCTTCAATAATAAACTCGTCTTTAACTCCCGCAAGCCTATCTAATATGTCTATGTTTTGCGTGTACACGCGCTTTAATAGATTCTTCTCTTGAAGTATCCGCACAAGATAATGAAACTTTGTAGGAGCATAATTGCCAGGGAAAAGCTCTTCTGCTAACGTGTAGAATGGTTTTGGATTTTCCTTGAAGAAATCAATGTCAAAGACTGCTTCAGCATACGGAAGGTCCAATTTGGCCAAGTTGGAGTACAATCCTGTATCGGGACTTCTAAAATCAGGTATTCCAGCTGCTGTAGATACACCTGCGCCTGTGAATAAAGTGACCTTCTTCTTCGCTTTCAAAGCGTCAACTAGTGGTGCTAATTTGGTTTCCATCGTTGAGGTGGAGGGAAAATAGTACTCACATCTGCAATCTCAAAATCTTTTGCGCGAGAAAAAAAAAAAAAAAAAGATTTAAAGGTTTAAAGATCTTTTGACAGTGAATAGATTTTGAAAAATATTGCCATCGCATTTACTTCATTATGACACCCACCAACCCAGTAGAGAAACAACTATTAGAGTTGAATATCAATGAAAATTCCTCAAATGTTATTCATCAAAAGAAACTTGCTGCTGAGAGATTGACTAAAGCAAAGACAAAGCGTGACGACGAGATACAAGCTTTAAAAGATGAGCAGACTAGTAATGCCAAGAAAGGTGAATTGATCCAGCTACACTCGCAACTTGTCGACGAATGCAGACAATATGTCCAAAGATACGTTGACCAACAAATGGACTGGACAAATATGGAATTAGCAATCGGACTTGAGAAAAAGAGGCCGGGGTCAATTGCGAGGTATATTGAATTGCCTTTGCACTTGAAGGAAAATCGCTTTGTGATCAGATTGCAAGATCCTGAGAGTCCTGATGAAAACAATGGCAAGGATATTCTTGATAGCGAGTCGGAAAGTGAGACAGACAGCGAGTCGGAAGCAGACAGCGATTCTGACAGCGAGGCAGAGAACGGGTCACGCGACCTAAAAAAAGTCCCTATATCTGACAGTAAATCTTCAGATAAATACACAGCGAAAGGTGTTCCGGTGAGCATTGACTACACCTTAAGCTCCTATGCCAATGCTAGTGTTTATTTTGAAAGCAAAAAAGCAGCCGAAGCCAAACAAGCAAAGGTTGAAAAAGGTGCCGAAATCGCTTACAAGAATGCCGAGAAGAAGATCAACCAGGATTTGGTAAAAAGCTTGAGACGAGAAAACGGGACATCTTCCAAGCTGGAAAGAGAAAAGTTTTGGTTTGAATCGTTTTACTGGTTCGTTTCCAGTGAAGGATATTTGTGTTTGGCCGGTAGGACCAAGTCGCAAACCGACATGCTCTACTTTAAGTACATTAGTGATGATGACTTTCTTGTGAGCTCAGAAATTGAAGGATCATTGAAAGTTTTTGTCAAAAACCCGCTAAAAGGGGAGTCCGTGCCGCCATCGACGATTTTACAAGCAGGGATATTTGCTATGTCTGCATCACAAGCTTGGAATGGAAAGATCAACACTGCAGCTTGGGTCTTGCATGGCAGTGATATATCAAAGTATAGTCAGTCGGGCGTTTTGCTCCAGGCTGGTGAGTTCGAATACCTGGCTAAAAAGCACTTCCTACCCCCAGCGCAGCTTGTAATGGGGTTTGGTTTGTACTTTTTGGTAGATGAAACGTCAGCTGAGAGACACAAGCATCAACGAGTTGAAAAGGAAAAAGAGCATGGCTTAATGAGAATTTTGGATAATAAGAAGCGGGTTTTCCAAAAGGCAAAAGTGACAAACATCAAATCTGAGGAGCCAGAAGAAGAACCGGAAAAGGAAACTGAAGTGAAGGATACCGAAAATGAAGACATTACCTCTACTAGGGGGAAAAAATCGAGAACAAAAAAGATTGCTTCAAAGTACGCCGACCAGGACGAAGAAGAGAAAGAGTTGAGAATGAAGTTGTTAGGAATTGGCAAAAAGGGCAAGGAATCGCAAAAAGAGAGCAACCTTTTGCAGGAAACTGATACAAAGGATGTTGCGGTTGAAGCTAACAGGCAGAGACATGAAAAAGAGGTGCAAGGGTATTTGCTTGAAGCAGACGCTTCTAATGAAACACTTTCCTCATTCTTTGACACATTGGATTACTTAACACCTAAACCCTCAACTGGAGATACTGTGCTTGATATAGTTCCAATATTTGCTCCATGGTCTGCTTTACAAAAATTTAAGTATAAAACTAAAATTCAACCAGGCTTAGCCAAGAAGGGGAAATCGATTAACGAAATCATCAACTACTTCACCAATAGACGCATGGACAACAGAAGTTCAGATCCTGATCTAGATTGGCCAAGTGAGAGAGAACTTGTCAATGCGGCCAAGTCCAATGACCTAATGGGCGTATTTACAGTGAACAAAATGAGGCTAATTGTTCCAAAGAAGTAAATAAACATTTTCATTTCCTAATTTTTTGTAAGAAAAAGCTCTGGCCCAAACAAACTTTGCATCTTCGGCTCCTTCTCTTCAAAAACCGTCCGAAGACAAGCATCAATATAAAAAAATATAGTGGACAGAGAGAACAGCAGCGATATCTCTTTTTTGGTCCATCCGTGTTTGTTCATCGCCTTGTGATGAGCTTCAATTAAGAATAACGGGATAGCTGCTGCACATTGTGACACGTAGAAGAGCAACACTGATCGGAGAGGCTGTGAGATTACTTTCTACGTACACATCTGCTACACCTGGAAAATTAATAGCGGCATTTTATGTAAATGCCACTATCTTTTTTGAATAAATTGGAATAATTATGGTGTAAGTTTCGGCGATTTTAAATTTTCTTTGCTCTGCGACATTTTCATTTATCCGTCTGGCTTTACCGCCACAGTTTTTTTTCATTTTGTACATTACATTACGCAATAAGACACATAAATTTATAGATTGGAACAAGTCCATACATCGCCAAGAAATGATACGTCAAGATTCACCGAAACTCAAATGAATCCTTTTACAGGTATCTCTATGCTAGTTCACTAAGGCATATTTGCTCAAGAAATGGCCATTAGATTTCTGTCACCCCCTTCTCCACTAACAAACCAATAATCATTTTAAAAGATAAGATAAAACTGTGGTACAAACAGAAGAACTGTGTGTGTGTGAAATCAATTAAATTTCGAAACTTCATTCGCCCAAAGATTTTCCAATTGACATGCGGCATCAAAATTTTACATCCGCCTTTTCCTTTTTAAGGTTTGTGTCTTTTGATTTCTTTTTTTATCTTTTTTTATCTTTTATTTCTTGTTTTTTTTTTGCAATCACTTTACATAGGAGATTACCCGTCACAATCATGTAAATACAATAAAAACACTTTTGATCTTCTTTTTTATTGTGAAGCACATAATTTGCTACTGGTTTAATGAAATTGTCCAAAATAAATCTAACCCATTTTGCAGAGCTTAATTGTTTTAAAATTACTCTCTACCGGGCCCCACCTATTGTTGTGCAAAATGCATAATAGATAAATTGAAATTAATGTTAGAAATGACCGATACGTTGAAAAAGGGAGCCGCAGATAAGCATCGTAAATTTAAACAATTGCCGTACGTGAATGATTTTACCTTTTAATTGTATTTGCTATATAATGCTATTCTAATCCACTCTAGTAACCATTTACGATTTTGAATATTTTTCTCTCCAGGACAAGAGTACCCCATAATGACTTCTGAAAGAGAATCAGTCTCATCTGTAGAACAGATACACGACGAGAAAGCAACCCATTTGAACGTTGTCACCAACGAAAA